TACTTAGCGCGGTGTGTAAACGTCGCCACTGGGGAGACAAAGGCGGGTCCGGCGTGGTAATGGCCACCCACCCACCCACGTGTGTCGTGGCGGCCTTTCTCGGTGTTCGCTTGCAGCACTTGGCTCAAAAAGTATGTGAGGCCTATACGCGGGATCTCTGTCTTTTTTGTGTACATCATAGGAGCGCGCTAAGAGCACTTTCCGCAAAAGTGTGTTGAGGCTATACGGGAGATTTTGCCTTTGTTGTGCGTGTGTAAATGGGGGTGCGGTAGTGTAGTATGTCTCTCTCTGTGTGTGTCTTTGTGTGTGCACCCGCATCAGGGTGCATTGACGCTTAAAATCCTGAATATACCAGCGTTGACTTCTCGGTCAATGTCAACATTTGTGGGGGAGCGGTGGCGCAGCGGTTAGCGCACGAAGCTACGAACCCCGGCGACCCGAGCTCGAGTCCCGGCCACGACTTTATAACAGCGATGATCCCCGGCGCGGTGTGCAAAACATAATCAATGGGGGAGACAAAGGCGGCCGGGCGTGGCTACTGGCCACACCACCCACTTCGGACACCATGTCGACCTTCATGGGTGCTCGCCAATCAGCACTCGCCCCGGCAGCCTGTGTGGGCTGCACGGGGGGGTGGGGGGGGTCGTGGTCTTTGTGCGCGCCCGCCCGCCCGATCGCCCGCCCGCATTAACGCTTACAAAGCTGAATATTCCAGTTTTGAGCTCTCGGCCAATGTCAACATTTGTCGACACGCAGAGCGCTGGGCCGTGAGCATTCGCGAAATTCCTCCAGCGCGGCGCGCTGCGGTGTACGAATTTAATGAGGCTCGCTGACTGATGGATTGAGTGGGAGACTCTGACCACCCAATCATTGTCACGGACTCAATTGTCCTCTCGCCAAACCGATCGGCGAGGCAGGCTTTGCCAGCCGAACGGCCGTCTATTCACCACTCTCTGACTTTTACCTGTTGGTTTTTTTTCTCCCACCTAACGTCTTAAATCACCGCACTTGCCGCCTGCCTCCTTCCAACTCCCGCACCACCCTCCCGTGTCCGGCCGAACTTAAATCATCGCGGCTTGGATCCGGCAGAAGTGAAAATTGCGTCGAAGCATCTCAAGGTGGCCCGATCCACGGCAGAATTCTCTCCGCGAAAGTGGTCGATGGGCCAGGGCTTATGATGATTATTATTATATGGGCGCGGTGACAACTTCTGTTCGTAAGATTTTGCACCTGGGAAACGATTGCAGTCGGTGTTGTTCTCGGCCGCAGCTCGCGTTGAAAGTCTCGGAGCGGTCTCCTTTCATTACCCGCCTCCTGACGTCACAATAGTATTTGCCACGTGACGCGCGAGCGGATTGTGACATCAAAGAACAGACGCAGACAAAGGTTCACCCGTATCGCCCGAGCAGACCGCGTGGGGTGCAAGTGCCGTTGGCGAGCACCTGTGATCGCACGTACGGTGACATCGCACCCACCACGGTTAACACAAAGTCACACAACTCAACACGTTCGTCAATAACACAGCGATGATTTAAAATATGATATGTAATAGGCGACGTTTCGGGGCATTGGCCCTTCTTTACCGCGCATAAATGACGACAGCACGGGTGGTAAGATCGCTTCTTGGCGGATTGTAATCGCCTTTGGTGCCGCTGTTGTGTTTACGATACGGTTAGGTCAAGATATTTTACGATACGTTGTTTAAGTTTGGTGGCAGTGTGGTGGGCGCACTGAAGTTGCAAGCATGGGTTGGATACCTGGGTAGGGAGAGTAATGGCAAATTATATTTCGACTTGCTACTTAATATGTCGTCAGTCCGTCTCTCCCTCCCTCCGGACGTGAAAGCCAGTCAGCCAGTCAACCAGTCAGTCAGCCAGTCGACCAGCCAAACTTCCTTCATCTTCCTCTCCCTCTCCTCCTTCTAAAATTCTGTCGTATGATAAGTGATAATTTACAACGTTAACGTTGTTTGGGGAAGATGAAAGGTTGGATACACGTGCAAACGTTCTTCTAAGTAAAATCTGATTCGCGAACAGAATAAATATGTACACGCCCTTTATAATCTGCCCAGTGAAAGCATTTGCGAGGCAGTGAATACGGTTAAACGCTGCCACGCAGGCTATCGCTGCTGTGCCGCTCTCTGATGCGCGTTCAGGTTGCACCACGCGTTGTTCGGCACGACGATGTCCGACGTTTCGCGCCACGTGCCGGGGGCTTCTTCACGACCCGGACAGCGCAGACAGTTACAATCGGGATTCTACAGTAAACAAACACCACGTGCAGATCACAGCGGGCTGGGCATGAGGTGGAGAGAGAAAGAGAGGGAGGAGAGAGAAACAATTCCAGCTTGGAAAACACCGAGCGACTCAACTTATTCGAATAGACATTATTTTAGTTTTAGATGATAATAATACCGCGAACGCTGTAGCTGTTTCTCATATGCGGGTCTAATGTCAACCCCACCACCACCACCACCCTCTCCCGTCTCTTCAGCGCCACCACCACCACCCTCTCCCATCTCTTCAGCTCCACCACCACCAACACCACCACCCTCTCCCATCTCTTCAACGCCACCACCACTACCAACACCACCACCACCAGCCTCTCCCATCTCTTCAGCTCCACCACCTCCACCACCCTCTCCCATCTCTTCAGCTCCACCACCACCCTCTCCCATCTCTTCAGCCCCACCACCACCACCCTCTCCCATCTCTTCAACGCCACCACCACCAACACCACCACCACTACCACCCTCTCCCATCTCTTCAGCTCCACCACCACCACCCTCTCCCATCTCTTCAGCTCCACCACCACCACCACCCTCTCCCGTCTCTTCAACCCCACCACCACCACCACCCTCTCCCATCTCTTCAGCCCCACCACCACCCTCTCCCGTCTCGCCAACCGCAATGTGCTTGACTGCACTTCGTGCTGTATAACGGCAATGCGCTGCGATTCTAGATCGCGGAGCGTCTCATTGTGACCGATCCTCGAGACGCGTGCAGCAACATTGGTGGGGAATGTTTTATGTTGGTAGAGGCAGTCAGTTGTGCCTGGACTTGAACAGGGGCATTGAGTGAACAGCACGGACGGTTCGGGGAAGGGAGTTCCAGACTTATGCGTGGGGAGACAGCAGAGGAGGATGCAGCGACCTCCAACTGAGCGATGGTTGACCGGAGGCTTCGAGAGAAAGCAGAGTGAGATGAGAGGGGAGATGTAACGGGGGTGAGCGGAGGGGACGTAGAGTGAGATGAGAGGGGAGATGCAACGGGGGTGAGCGGAGGGGGCGTAGAGTGAGATGAGAGGGGAGATGTAACGGGGGTGAGCGGAGGGGGCGTAGAGTGAGATGAGAGGGGAGATGTAACGGGGGTGAGCGGAGGGGGCGTAGAGTGAGATAAGAGGGGAGATGTAACGGGGGTGAGCAGAGGAGGCGTAGAGTGAGATGAGAGGGAAGATGCAGGCAGGAGCGAGTCTATCTTGAAGCCGGTGAAATTGACTCGGCACTGGATTTGAGATCACGCGGGGCGATTCCCGCGGGGCGATCCCGTGGGGCGATCTCAGTGTGGGATATTTGAGCGGGGAGGGGGGGGGCGTCGTAGAGGAGATAAGAGGCAGGGTTTTGGGACAATCGACGGCAACAGCGGCAATGCAGAGCTCCCAACGTTGAGCGACAGTTCCACCCCTTTGGTGCATCCCCGCGTTTCGCTCTTGCGCCGAGTCTAGCCCGAGTGCAGCTGGCAGGCAAAAAAAAATATTTGAATAATCGTGACCTTGATTGCATCATTGTGTTAGGAAACTGGATGCAGTGGAGGGGACGTGTGTGTATGTTTTTTTCTTTCTCTTTCTGGAACATGCGTTGAGAACACCGCAAAGTGGCCCCGGGTCTCCCGTGAGCTCTCGGTGCAATTACACCCGGGACGATTCCACGCCGAGCCCCCAAGGGGCAATGGGAGTAGTCATATGTAGTTATTTATTTAATAACACGTACATTTCTCCGTGTAAAGAATACGCACAGCTCCCTCTCTCTTTCCCTCTCTCTCTTGTGAGATGGTAGAGAGCAACGTGGCTCCCCCTCCACCCCACCGCCCCCCCCGAGGTTTGAGTTGCGGTGTTTCGACTGAGAAAACTTGTAAAGTGCCTCTGACATTTTTTTGTTGTTGTGAGTTTATATTTTTTCTATTACAAATAAAAAAAAATGAACAAATGGCAACAACAACAAAAATAAAAATAAACCCACCGTGACTTTTCTAACCGGAGTTTCGCACGCAAATCCGCGTTCAGTATGACTGCACTGTGTACCTCAAACAAAGAAATAAAGCAGATGCCGTTCGTTACAGCAGCAAAAAAAATATCGAATTCGGTTTAGCGCCAGATTAAGGTATGAGTAGTGACGCGTGTTTATTTCTGTCATTTGACGAGTTGAGAACACATGAGACCAGGATAGAGCGCCATTAGCAAGAGCGACCCGGGGCATTGAGTCTGCCGCTAGGGGGGCAATGATTGGTTCTGACGCGGTGCAGTCATAATAATCTGGCGGGTAGCAGAATCTAAATATTCACACAGGAGGAATACGATGAGATTTAAAGCTCTCTTTGGCAGATGTCTAGTGGGGGCAGGTAAGACAGTTGCAACAACAAACAATACCAAAAAAATTGAAAGGAGTGCAAAGGATAGGAAAGGTTAACTACACTCACTTAAAACAATATTAAAATAAAACTAAACTATTTTTTGAATCTTACCAGGTAAAGCCAACCGAGGTAATAACTCATTTTTCAGAAGCGGCATTGCCACAAATAATAGCTCAACAAAGTGGCTTGTCACGTGAACATTTATAGCAGCAAATTGATCAAAATAAGCGAAAGGCATGTTTCTAAATGTGGAGGGGAAAATCCACGCGACCACCGGGGAGAGAGACACCGCAATCTCCAAATATATCGTTGAGTTCCACGTCTGTGTCTCTGTGCGATCCTGAGTCTCTGCTGTGTCTCCCTCTGTTGCAGGGCTGGTGGAAATCTGTCTGATGCACCCGCTGGACGTGGTGAAGACGAGGTACTCATCTCCCTTTCTCTCTCTCGCTCCTCTAGAGCGTGCCGCTCATTCTCTCCAAGACATGGGTCGACAGTGTTTCAAAGAAGAACACGAGGAGCCACATCACACGCAGAGCTAATTGTACACTAAGCAGCGGGTATACGGCAGATGACAACGCAAAATCTCGCTTAAATGAACAAAGTAGGTGCTGGAATAAACTGAGTCTATTTAGTTCCCATCCCCTCCCCCCGCCCCCCTTAGTTATTATTTAACTACTAGCCTTTTGCCCGTCCAAGGACGGGTGTATTGCAGTAATCTGAGACTTGCAAGCGAAAAGCAGACCGCGACGTTATATTCATTGCATCAATTCGCGTGCAATTTGTAAGGCCGCGGTGACACAGACTTATTTCATGTAAAGGTTTAATCTCTTGTTCATCGTGACGTCCTTTTTACTTCGATGTCTCAACAGCGTGACGGAGATCGCGTGACGTGAGGGTTCTGCCTTTGTAGTGAGGGTTGTAAGTTGACGCTGAGGAGGGGGGAGGAGGCGCCTCGCCCTCCCCCATGTAGAGTGACGTCACCCGATAATTAATATTAATGAGGGGTGTCCAATAGGAAGACGTCACCTGTTCATGATTATTAATGAGGGGGGCTGGTCGACGTGGAGTGACATCACGCGCGTTACACACAAATATTCTTGGCTCATTATAATAGTTAATACAGTTTGATTGTTGTATATCTTGTCGTCGCAAAGACATTGAATATTACAACCCATTCCCTGGCCATATTCAATCATCATTAGACCTCCTTTGCCAGTACCAACATATAATAATAGGGTTTTTCCCCTTTTTTCTGGCAACAAAACTGAAACCTTTTTTTTGTACTGGCAAAGGAGGTCAAATGATGTAGATGCTCACCCCGAGCCCTCATTACTTTGATAGTGAATTGTCTTTGTGCTGTACGCCTTTTGGTGTCCTCTGGTCTAGCACCAATTGGGTCGAGGCTCAAAAGAAAGCCGTCCCTTGGTGTGGACCAATCAGTTTCAAGGACAATGCATATATTATCAGAGTGTGTTTTTTGTTTGCATTTCGACTGCAAGTATTGTGGTTAATGCAGACATGAATCCTCGTAAAAAGGTTTCAGTTTTGTTGCCAGAAAAAAAGGGGAAAACCCCTATTATTATCATAGTCAATCAATTATCTTTACATTAAATTACGTTGACCATTTATTTAAAAGAAAAACCGCTCCCCGCGAAAGAAGGGGGGGGGAGGGGGGTCAACCCAAAGAGTCAGCACGCAGCTCCAGAGCCGGCAGGTTGCCGATCCCTTGCTCCAAGGGGTCGTGGACTCCTGCTCTAAGAGGTCGCGTGTCCAATGTTGTTCATTGCGCTCTTGACACCGTCATCAACAAAAAAATCCCGAGCCGCCACGACCTCGAGTTTCTGTAAATATGCACGCAAAGAGGGTGTCTAACTGGCAGCAAAACGTAGCGGGGATTCCCAGCATGCTGTGCATGTCGGGATGACATCAGCATTGCCCAGCACATTCCGCACACGCAGCCCTCTTCAGGGCACACACACACAGAGAGAGAGCTCCAAGATTTTTTTTTTGGCTCGGCCCCGTCGTTCAAATTGCGAGAAGGCATAAAAGTGTACAACGCAATAAGGCAGCCTATACGTTGCGTTTTTGGGCATAAATGCTGCACGGAGTGAGAGCGAGGCGGGTAAGCAAATTACATGGTGATCAAACCTTTACAACTCTGCATAAAAAGTTATGTCATCTGTAAAAAATGGAAAGGAAGAAAAAAATCTCAACTGCGTTCAGTGCGTGCGCGCGCACGTGCGCGCGCGTGTGTGTGTGGGTGTGAGCGGCAGTGTAGCAGTAAGCGTGCTGCGCTACGAACCCGGACACCCAGGTTAGATTATCGCTCACGGTCAACAACCAGCGACGATTATCTCAACCGGTCCTGGGCCCTACCATAGGTCGACTGAGCCTAAAATGAGTACCTGGTGCGGTGTGTAAACATCGGGGAGACAAAGGCAGCGGAGCGTGGTGCTGGCCACCCATGCCATCGTGTGCTGTGCCGGACTTCATGGTGTGCCTGCTCACAGCACTTGCCCCTACATTATATTAAGGCTATACAGGGGATCTTTGTCTCATCACACTGGCCCAGAAAGCTGCGTGCCCCTAGCACTGTTGACTACGTGCTACTCGCTCACAGCACACTTGCCCCAATAGTCTGTTTAAAAGGCGTTACGGGGTGGACCTTTCTCTTTGTGTGTGCGACGCACGCAGCAGCACTGCCCGTGATCTCCGCAACTCGGGGACTCTTCTCTCTCTCCCTCTCTCTCTGCCTCTCTCTCTGCCTCTCTCTATGCCTCAATCTCAGAGCGCGAGTACCAGCGGTGCGAGCCGAGCCGCCGTACGTGCGGTGGATTACGGCGCGCAAGTTCGCTGTTAGGAGGCGACTTCCCCGAATGACGAAACCTGCCCCGCTCCCGTGCCCTCCCCCCGTTCCCCCCCCGTCGAAAGCCCTGTTAAGCGGCGGGACGTTATGCGGCCAATTATGGGCTGGCGTCGGCGCGGTGCGGCGCTGGTGACAGGAAAGAAGCTGATGCCTGATCTCCATCTGAACCCCATCAGCTTTAACGGCCTCTCATTAGCCTTATTAACCCGCGTGCAGTGGGGAGATAAAATTCTGTGGCTCATCGAGGCGTCTCGAGCCGCCGCCGCCGCCTGCCCACTCTGTCTGTGTTCCACCTTTCTCTGTGCCTCTCTGTTTTTAAGGTAGTGGGGTGGGTGTGGAGGGGGTGAAAGAAAACAAGTTGTAGGCGCAGCCCCTGCAATTGCTCGCTCGCACCGATGCTTGTGCAATTGCCCTCTCGCACGCTGGCCCAGACGTCTTGGTGGCAGTGATGGGAGTTGCCGACGCTTTACCCCACTGCACATGAACCCGGCGATCAGATAAGTGTGGTGTGACTTTTCTTTTATATGAACTATGCCGCGCCGGGAGCTTGAGTGGAATCTGGCAACATCTGGATCGCAAATTCAGTGCGCGAACAAATGCACCACGGAATTATTCCTCATTTACTCGTTGTCAGTTACAGTAGGAATCTCAAAAGTCTGGACAGTGGGGACCTCAATAGTCTGGACAGTGGGAATCTCAAAAGTCTGGACAGTGGGGACCTCAATAGTCTGGACAGTGGGGATCTCAATAGTCTGGACAGTGGGGACCTCAATAGTCTGGACAGTGGGAATCTCAAAAGTCTGGACAGTGGGGACCTCAATAGTCTGGACAGTGGGGACCTCAATAGTCTGGACAGTGGGGACCTCAATAGTCTGGACAGTGGGAATCTCAAAAGTCTGGACAGTGGGGACCTCAATAGTCTGGACAGTGGGAATCTCAAAAGTCTGGACAGTGGGGATCTCAATAGTCTGGACAGTGGGAATCTCAAAAGTCTGGACAGTGGGGATCTCAATAGTCTGGACAGTGGGGACCTCAATAGTCTGGACAGTGCGGATCTCAATACCCTGGACAGTGGGGATCTCAATAGCCTGGACAGTGGGGATCTCAATAGTCTGGACAGTGGGGATCTCAATAGTCTGGACAGTGGGGATCTCAATAGTCTGGACAGTGGGGATCTCAATAGTCTGGACAGTGGGGATCTCAATAGTCTGGACAGTGCGGATCTCAATAGTCTGGACAGTGCGGATCTCAATAGCCTGGACAGTGGGGATCTCAATAGTCTGGACAGTGGGGATCTCAATAGTCTGGACAGTGGGGATCTCAATAGTCTGGACAGTGGGGACCTCAATAGTCTGGACAGTGCGGATCTCAATAGCCTGGACAGTGGGGATCTCAATAGTCTGGACAGTGGGGATCTCAATAGTCTGGACAGTGGGGATCTCAATAGTCTGGACAGTGGGGACCTCAATAGTCTGGACAGTGGGGATCTCAATAGTCTGGACAGTGGGGACCTCAATAGTCTGGACAGTGCGGATCTCAATAGCCTGGACAGTGGGGATCTCAATAGTCTGGACAGTGGGGATCTCAATAGTCTGGACAGTGGGGATCTCAATAGTCTGGACAGTGGGGACCTCAATAGTCTGGACAGTGCGGATCTCAATAGTCTGGACAGTGGGGATCTCAATAGCCTGGACAGTGGGGATCTCAATAGCCTGGACAGTGGGGATCTCAATAGCCTGGACAGTGGGGATCTCAATAGTCTGGACAGTGGGGATCTCAATAGTCTGGACAGTGGGGATCTCAATAGTCTGGACAGTGTGGATCTCAATAGCCTGGACAGTGGGGATCTCAATAGCCTGGACAGTGGGGATCTCAATAGTCTGGACAGTGTGGATCTCAATAGTCTGGACAGTGGGGATCTCAATAGCCTGGACAGTGGGGATCTCAATAGTCTGGACAGTGTGGACCTCAATAGCCTGGACAGTGTGGACCTCAATAGCCTGGACAGTGGGGACCTCAATAGCCTGGACAGTGGGGATCTCAATAGCCTGGACAGTGGGGATCTCAATAGTCTGGACAGTGTGGACCTCAATAGCCTGGACAGTGGGGACCTCAATAGCCTGGACAGTGGGGATCTCAATAGCCTGGACAGTGGGGATCTCAATAGTCTGGACAGTGTGGACCTCAATAGCCTGGACAGTGTGGATCTCAATAGCCTGGACAGTGGGGACCTCAATAGCCTGGACAGTGGGGACCTCAATAGCCTGGACAGTGGGGATCTCAATAGTCTGGACAGTGGGGACCTCAATAGTCTGGACAGTGGGGACCTCAATAGTCTGGACAGTGGGGACCTCAATAGCCTGGACAGTGGGGATCTCAATAGCCTGGACAGTGGGGACCTCAATAGCCTGGACAGTGGGGATCTCAATAGCCTGGACAGTGGGGATCTCAATAGCCTGGACAGTGTGGATCTCAATAGTCTGGACAGTGGGGATCTCAATAGTCTGGACAGTGGGGATCTCAATAGCCTGGACAGTGGGGACCTCAATAGCCTG